CATTCGTCAGTCCGTCAGTGAGTTCGCCACTCCGTCAATGAGTTCGCCACTCCGTCAGTGAGTTCGCCACTCCGTCACTGTGATGATTGACGAAGTGACAGCAATAACGGATAAAGCCAATGACGAAATGACGGATCCATTGACACCAATGCCGGAGCGACGCATGAAGAAGCGCTGTGTTAACGGACTGGCTCCAATGAAAGGTTGGGTCAATTTTATGACTGTCTGATGTCAATGGAAAAAAAATCCTTCGTTTTAGTGGAATTGCAAGAAACGCAGATCTGAAAATTAGAATGGTGCAAATCAGTGTCCCTGATAATCATAAAAAGTTTACAAAATCTTAAATAATAAACAGATGTAAATAATTACGGTAATTAAATTATAACCAAATTAATGTCAAAACAATAATCGGTGGAAGAGATAACTGTGTTCCCAGGAAAACTTTGACGCTGTGTTTGCCAAACAAAGATCAATAACTAAAAAAACCGTTAATTGAACATAAATTGAAGATCCAAAGTTATTTCCAATATAGCATTCCAAATTTCGACAAAAGCAGAAGAAATTTTTTTCTATAGTGATCACCAATCCATTTCGAAGACAAATCGCGATAAGTTCTCAACAATATACATAACATGCCAAAGTCCATCAAGATCAGGTTACAACTGCAGTCTCGTTCGTATTCACATGCCAAATTCGTTTATTTTGGATAGATCAAAATCAATTAACTCAAAAATCGTTCGTAAAAAAATCATATTAAATGATGTACACAAAATTATACGTAAGCATACCAAGAATTGTTAAAATTCTGGCCTTTTTGTATAGCCTACATACAAGATATTTGAGTCAGGGCTACCTCATACCAAATTGAGATCGATATAGCAAGAATGTTGATATAGGTTCATACAATAATAGAAACGAGTTACGATGCTTTAAAAACACGAAAATCGAAGTCATTAGCTTGTATCTTATTTTCGTTTACTGATGGAAATTAGATATTCCCCAATTTGTACGAAATTTTTTTTTTTAGTTTTTGACATGTTCTATAGACGATTTGATTTAAATACTCCGTCAAATGTCGTTTTTCGTTTAAGAACTTAATAAAAACAAAAGTTATAAAATTGTAAGGTAGCATCGACGTATTGATGGACTCCAGTGACGGAGTGGCGAACTCACTGACGTAGTGACGAACTCATTGACGGAGTGGCAAACTCATTGACGGAGTGACGAACTCACTGACGTACTGACGTATGAGGTAGCCCTGACTCACAAAGTGGACGAAGAAAGTCAACAATATGTAACTATTATTAAAGGACTTTATCGATACAAAAGATTGCCTTTTGTCATTGCTTCATCTCCTAGCATATTTCAAAGAACCATGGACATTATCCTCCAAGGTCTTGAAGGTATCGTCTGCATCCAAGATGATATTCTTGTTTCAGGCACAGAATTGATTCATTATAATCCGAGTATTCCTATCATCCTAGAATGTGATGCAAGTCAATATGGTGTACTAGCTGTCATTTCTCACAAATTTCCTAGTGGCTGTGATCGACCTATTACTTATGCATCTCGTTCACTCAATTCTGCTGAGAAAAATTACAGCCAAATCGAGAAAGAAGCCTTAGCCATCAGTTTTTGTGTTTCCAGGTTCTACATGTACCTATATGAACGAAAGTTTACGCTTTTCACAGATCATAAATCTTTGTTAAAGATCTTAGCCCAGATAGTATCACGCCTGTGTGCTTCCTGCAGCCAGAATCCAGCGCTGGTCATTATTACATCCATCCTATATATACGATATCAAGTACAAGAAGTCAGAAGATATAGCTAAAGCTGACGAGTTGTCAAGACTTCCGCTATCTCATACTGCAGATATATACGTAGAAGAA